CCACCCCATTACAGCTTTATTTTTACAACTGACTTGACACGAATACTCCACACAGAACTATGAGCGCTTTAAGTGTTGAAGGCGAACAGGGTGGCCGAGAATAGGCAGATACCCAAAAGTACGAAGGAAATATTGAGGAGTGAATTTAGGTCAAAGAATTAAGCAGGCCAGGAAAAGTTTATATTTAACAGATAGCTTTATCACTCTACGTCCTTTATGCCAAGAACTGGTTCATCTGGGCTTTCTAGACGGACAAAATATAAGCTTGAATTAAACCATGTAATTCGAGTAGCCGTAAACAAACACGTTTTCGGGGAAACCGAATTCACCTACCTTCGCGTCACCTCGACGTGCTCACAGAAAAACTCGGTAGAACGGAAGACAAGGAATCAAGCTACCCTTTGAAACAATTGCTTTTTATTCAGATTCATTTGTGGCGCGAAACTGGGCCCGGCTGAGAACTGGGCCTCACACTGGACTGAGTATAAATAATAAATGTCAGCTCGGTGGATGAGAATTTTGACCTTTATTACAGGACAAAAACAGAGGTTAGTATTGGCTGTGCTTTCGTGACGCTAACGAAGCAAAAAATGCCAAAAAAAAAACTTATACAGATCCAGCTGGTTTCAATACACCACTGTGGGTTCATGATCAGTTCAAAGGCAGTTCAGCGTGTGTCAGTCATCGCTTCTGTTCGGCGTTGTTGCCTGACAACATCAGCGTGGTCACCTTTATCCTTTATTCTTGATTAATTATTAATTCAAATTCCCACCATTTAATCGGCTCGTGCAGTTTAAGCTCAGTAATTATCAAACAAGGGTGTTTGCTCATTATTTTGATGACCGTATATCTCAATACCTAAGGTCTACTGATTAGGTCTCGACTAATTTTAAAAGAGCTTCTTGGAGACTCGGAGTTCATTCGGTGTCCAGCGTTTTACTGGAGAAAAATACGGTAAATATTTACCTTGTATGTGTTATTAACTTTTCGGTGTCGTAGTATTTATGGCTGATGTGAGGGTAGCTTAACGTTTCTTATGAAAATGTAAATTCGCATTATGTTTGTTCCGCTGGATCACAAAACACTAACGCGCAAAACAATTTGAAACTTTACATGAAGGTTATCAGGGAAAGCCGCTGTAACTGTGGTTAAATTTGGGCAATTTGCTTTAAAATTAGAACATCATTTCTTTTCCAATTTTGACATGGGTAAACGAAAATATTCGACCCATCTTTTTAAAGATAAGTTTCATTTAAAAATGAAACTTATATGAAACATTTATCCAAAGAATTGGAAGATTTTAGACGTAAGCGTAACAAAAATGATGGAGAATACATTACTAATGACACATCAGGATTCAAACTTTATTTTGTCGACAGTCCTCTCGCTTTATAACTTCATTTAGTAAACGTCATACTTCATTTCTTAATAACTGAAAAATACTTTTTGTACACATTAATAACTCAGAACTTTAATAATCGAAATCGATATATAGCGAGGCGGAATTTATATAGCTGACCTGTTCTGACTGTTGAGATAGTGATAACATTTCCTTCTTTTACATCTTTTCAAAAACAGGCAAAATTAAGTGAGTTCATCTCGTTAATAGTTCACAGTCTTCATCAATTTTCTCTCTTACAGCCCCAGACCCCTGGTGGACACTCGTCACCGGCAGTTGAGTCATCCTTTTTCTCTTCCTCTTTCTTCGGAACTTTGTTTCGTTTGCAGCCCCAGACCCCTGGAGGACAATCGTCTTCAATCTCATCTTTCTTACAGCCCCAGACCCCAGGTGGACAATCATTTTCGACCACGTCCTTCTTACAGCCCCAGACCCCTGGAGGACATCCTTCCTCACCAAGCTCTTCTTTCTTGACTTCCCGTTTGCATCCCCAGACTCCGGGCGGGCAATCTTCGTCGGTTTCTTTTACTGAGCGCTTGCGTTTGCCTTTCGACTTGAACCAGTTTTTCACAGAACCAAACAGCCCTCGTTTGCAGCCCCAGACTCCTGGCGGGCAGTCATCGTCGTTATTACTTTTCATTTCTACTTCTCGCTTGCAGCCCCAGACTCCTGGAGGGCAATCCTCGTCACGTTCCTCAATCGTATTTCTCTTACAGCCCCAGACCCCAGGTGGACAATCGTCTTCGGTCTTCTTTTCTTCTGCAACTGCGAGTGCGCGCTTACATCCCCACACCCCTGGGGGGCAGTCATCTTCCCATGCCCTCCTGTGTCTGTTCAGTGGATTACTGGTGGCTTCTTGAGAAAAGGCGAGGAGTATTGTAAGGGCGATAAATAACCAACTCATTGTCCTTTAAAAGAAAAGCACCGTAATGTTAAAGTAGTAACACTCGGAAAGCCTCCAAGTTACTTAATTCAAAGTAAACATCTGGACTTCTAGAGAGTGAAATCTTCCTCTTGCTGAACTTGTCGTCGGAAAGATGAGGAAATAAAAAGAAACTCAAATAAATTATATTAATAAGACAATAATTCTTGAAAAAAGAGTACCCAATAGTAAGGATACTTCCTGTCAGTTCTAAGTCCGCTTTAAGTCTGTCACAGCGTAAAGGGAGTTTCACATAACTGGTAGACATTATAAAGAGTACAAGAACGCGATACAACAAAGAAGGGTCTCTTTTTAAAACGACAAAATAAAAAGGTTGGAACGAATACAAACAGATCAGTCAGAAAGTAATTAAAATCAGCAAGGGCATGGAACAGTTCAAGACCTCTGACATAAAAAATCAGCATCAAGCATGAAGACAAGGGGTAAATAAACAAGAATTAATGAGGGAAGGAAGAAAAAAGAAGGATGGAAGGAAGGAAACAAACAAACCCAGGGAGGGAGAAAGGAGGGAAATGAAGGATTGTGAAACATTACTTCTTCTAGGTTGTCGGTTAAAAACAAAGAAATTTTCATCGGTTATGTACTTCTGGCTTAATACATGTGCACTGGTTTTGTTTCGAATATGTAAACGATAACGAACCATAGAGACAGGTGTAGGTTGAGTGCTCTTGTGGGTTTTCACCGAGATACACCATTCCTCTCACACTAAATCGATGATAAAAGCCCTCCTTAGATACAATTGAATATGTGTTAAATTTGCCAAAAGGTGTAAGTTTTCGGGACTTTTAAAAAATACAAAATTGTAAGAAGGCGGTTTGATAGACTACACGGAAAGTGTTGTCTCGTTTGAAAGATTTAATGAAGGAAGAGAAGGGAACTCACAAAACCACAAAATGACTTTTTGTCGAGTACTTGCGAAAAAAGAAATAACTGCTATTGATTTTGATCAAAAGTCGAGAAGAAGTCTTTATATAATGGCTAACCTTTATTTTAAAACGGCATGATTGTTTCAGGGACCTCTACCTCTTCAAGATTTAACGGAAATTACTCCATTTCACTTAAAAATCCACTTCCAATTTTTTTTTTTGGATAAGATGAACTGACACTTAGAGAAATAACCTTTGGACGACAATAACCGGTCAGCAATGGGCTACAGGGGTCAATTTCTGAACGGATAGTCCCCTTTGTTTTCTATTTTTAGTTGAGCCAATTCATAAACATGAAAGACGTATAAACAAACGTATTTCAATAATGAAATAATACAAAGTGTGAGACCACATTCGGCCTCAGACACGAAACAACCAAAGCACTCGGTTGATGAACATGAAGGAAGCTCTATTTATTGAACACTTCCGAATAAAAGAGGCTGCCTTTACTCAACTTATAACACTGAACGATTACCCTTGACCCAACGAAAAGAAACTTAAAAGTCTCAGTTTTTTCGAAGTGCTATGGCAAAATAAACTAAGTATATTGATGTTTTTCTCGGCTAACAACAACAAAATTCCAGTAAAGCTACCAACGTAACCTACCTTTGGATTTCAGGTTTGTTTCGGTTATTTTCCTGCTTGTTTTAAGGTACGTACTGAAGGAAGTCGAGAGGTTCGTTTCCCGTTGAAAGTGTCTGGTGTGATGAAATATCAGTAAACACTCTTAGCCCTTAAGTAAGAAACTGATAGGTGCCCCACCGCGCGTCAGATAAATTTAACCCGAGTCTACACAACAAAGGTTTTTAACCAAGTTTTAATCTTCTTAGTCGTTTTGAGAGCACTGATTGGTCTCTTGCCGTGGGCGGTGGTTTAGGAATAATTGAGAAAGACAGAAACAATTACAAGCTACTAAAATCCGAATACATGCCAATTAGTAGCTTAATTCTACAGCAAAGAAATCATCATAGAGCTTTTATCGATGTCTTATGACAACCTGCTGTTACAACAAGTATAGCACGCTTCTTTATCAGGGTTAGTGCTTTGTTTTGCGTGGTTCTGTCTGAATTTCGTGCTCACTCACTTTGCCCATCAACACAATTACGGCACGGAAGATTAAATTGCTATATTCTATTTGCGTTCTCGCACTTCATCCACAAGAGGTTCAAAAAACCTTCTTTATGAAAGAAGTTGACCGCAAATAGTAACGAAATTTGGAGCGGACAATTCAAACAAAAATCAGATTGAAAATGATACATCTGAGGATAATTTATCTTACGTATCTTTCAGTCATTTTTTATTTCAATAAAGTCTTCCTTTGCCTTTTGGTTATGAAAGTTTCTCTTTTTTTTCCTTAGGTAACAGGTGCTGTATGCCCACGTCTTTACTTCATTTTCGTATATGATAGTTTTCATGGCTAAAGCAAAACAAATTAGTTGGTTTCTGCGGTCAAGATTAGAAGTTTACGTATGTCTTGGGTACGATTAAATTTAAAAGTTTTAAAAGCCTGAGTGACTTTTCCTGACGAAATAACAAATTTCGTCGAAAGTATTCTTCTATAAGTTGGTCGAATGAACGCCTTTGCATGGTAATTTAATTGAAAATGTCTGAGTCGGTGCGTCACAGAGACAGCCATCTTTTCGCTGTTATAGTAGATGGCAGTTTGCTAACCATAAAACTAATTAGAAAAAATTCGACACATTTCGATGTAAAAACTACTGGCGAAATAAGCAGCAAACTGACTATACTGAAACTAAATCGGGTATCATAATTTGATTTTTCTCATTTTCACTAATATTCCGTAAAAGAGTGGTGGAGTTCTTTAAAATTATTTACTCCAGTTCCCAAATTTCAAATGATATATTGCTCGTTTTACCCCCATTACAAATTGACACATAAGATAGGAACCTAATATCCAACAATGGCGTAACTAAAATGCGTAAAACTACATAAATTCTCGTTTGATTTGAATTTGTTAGAGAAATGCACAGTAATTGAAAAACAGATCCTAGAAAAAAAAGTGAGCTTCCACTAAAGTGAAATATTTCATCCCAAGAAGATGCTTTGTTCACAAGATTTAAAGAAACCACAAGCTTTTAAACACAAGGTTCAACCTCTGTGGAAAAGATTGCCAGCTGGGCTTGAGCTGTAGGTCAAAATCAATCAAACATGAGTTATAATAAGAAAGCCAATCTTTAATCAACCAAAGCTGTGCATTGACGTTTGCAACGAGTTTGCAAGCAGCTAGTGAAAGTTGTGAATACAAAGATCTTTGAAATCCTGGGAGATGAGAGACCCTGACTTTCGGAAACTTAATTAAGTTAAAACATTTTGTATTAGTGACAATTGGCGCCGAGTGAACGTGGCACGCGGCCGTCTCCATGCAAAAAAGGTGTGTTTTTTTTTTTTGTTTGTCGACCAATAGTGGAACACAACCTGATTTAAGACTTTCTTTCGTGTAGGAAGGTGTCAAGTTTCCGATAGAAAGTATCACCTTTGCTTTCCGTAGTTTAAATAGATGAATTGGAAAGATAGACTTTTTGGCTTCTGGCAAAGGTACTTAGTGGTCAGAGACACAGAGCAACGCTGAAGTTTTTTATAGGTTAAAAACCAAACTCTCGTAACTTCTATCATTAGCTAGACCATTTTCGAGTCATTTGCAGTGTTATGACAGGATGGAAGGAAAGCTATTCCAACACACACAAATCACCTATTTCGTTTCAGAAAGAACGTTTATAGTTCACAAATATATATATTTTTAAAAATTTAGATACTTCATAAATTCCATTTAAGTAAACAATTTCCTAGGTCAGGAACTTAACAGAATTTAAACGCTACTTTTCCTTTAATCTTATTAAAGAAAGCGAAACGATCACAGATATTTTACAAAACACACAAGAGAGAGTAACTTTCTTTACATCCAAACAAAATATCTCACGAAGAAAGCTTATGAGAACCCTAAATCGTGGCGTTGTTAAGCCTTGAAACCTTGTGACGAATATATCGTAATTGAACAGCCTTTGTTTATAGCGAAGTAAGTTTCCCGAGGCTGTTCAGCTAACTTTTAGTCGAAAGAACTACCTGTCGAGTTGTCGCAATTGGCAACACAATTAAAAACAAAGCAAAGCTGGAAGTCCTGTTTTCTACAACAACTGTATTAAATGCTAAGATGTCCCATTTTGTTGACATGATTAAAGCTCATAAAACTTTCTTAACTTATTCAACATAACTGCTTTCTTAATAAAAGCTTGCTTACCTGGTATAACAAGGAAAAATTCCTAGTTCTATCTGACGTGTCCGACGGGGCAATTCCAGCCGAGAGAGAGCTCTTTATTCTGGTAATGTGCAATAACTAAAGAATGAAATCAGTATTTATATACCTCATCATTAAAGCGAAGGAACGCGTGGTCGGCGAAAATTTAGCAAACAAAAGTGCTCTTGTTTGACAACGTATCAATGAAAACGTCGGTAGAAAATTAGCACCGATGAAAATTTAAACCACTCTGGCCAGACAGAGAACAGGTCCTTTAATTATTAAACCACAGTTATCGATACGATAAAATTACTTTTCTCATATTTGATATCCTTTGTAAACAAAGGGTGTCGACAGAACGCGTTGGCAGAATATCACTTTTTTAACAGAAATTAAAGGAACAGATATCTTAAAACCACTTTATTTTAAAATCTCAATGCATAAGATAATTCCATCTTTAGGCTTTTTGGTGTTTAAATAAAAGGGTCTTAGGGCATTGCGACGAAACTAATAAATGCCAAGAAACTGTTTATATATATCTCTGGAAATTTTGCATCATTTTTGTTTCATTCGTAAGTACGCATGTGTGTTTACAATGGTAATAATCCAAGCAAATCACTGGAATCATAAAACAAACATATTTTTAAGAACACTGATTTTTTTTTCTCGTAGTAATAAATGTGTTGACTTTAAGCGACATCAACTGCTTTCACGCGTAGATTGAACTAAACTATTTGTCCAAAATGTAGAAATTAAAGAATGTTTTATACTTTATCTTTTTACGAATCTCGAGTTTTATTTTAAAAAGATTTATGAAGGAAAAGTGAGTTTTCTCTGCCATGCCAACAAGATATGATCACATATCAGCTGCCAGGAAGATAGCTGATAAAACCTAGCGAAGTAAATAATCCTTGATTCTGAGGTAAATGGCTTTCTCGGGTAGAGATTATTTTGTTATACAAAAACCAACTGCGGACCACAGAAAAAAGAAACCGCCACCTCATCGATCACTCACTGACTGGCAATATTAATTTAGCCGCAAGAAATCTGTTCAGCATACATGGAGTTTCATTCCAGTCTCACAAGAGATTTTTCTTTGTCTACTTTCTATGACAGCCATCTCTGAAGCAATGTTTCTTTCATTTTTGGAAGCGGGTTTTCGATCAATCTCCACAGCGAATACCTACACTTCCTTTATGTAAAAAAACAGTTTTTTATATAAAAGGGAACAGCATTTGTCTTCAATATCGGTTCCTTATCGGAGAAACAAGACTTTTTCCTATGCACACGCGAACTTACAAAAGCACACACACAAGTTATTTGTTATTTTAGACATTCACTCACGCGATACTAGTTCAGTTATACACGAAAAATGAGCTGTGCTTCTAAAGATATCTCACAGATGCCTCAGTTGAAAAAGACTTATACTCTTCGAGATAATCTTCCCACATGTTTATTTGAAGATGTTAACCCAACTCCACGGACAATGCGATTACTTGTTTTGATGTGTTGGTAGGCTTCTTCTGTAGTCTCCGACTTAAGATTGTCTAAGTACATTATTTATAAAAGCAAGCTTGCAATCCGTGAGGGTAGTACAAAAATCTCGTGAGTGGATACTCGTGACGGAGCAGTTTGTTATGGTGACAAACAGAAAAGCTTCGCTGGAAAGAGATAAAGCCTTCTTTTTTTAAATTGAAGCCACAGCTCTGGAATACCACACAAATGTTCTACCTCACAAGTCTGAAAGTTTTCTATGCCTTTTGTCAATTCGCATGCTTTCTACACAGTTACTTGTGCTTGGAGCTTGGCGGTTTCGTACCAAGTGTGCTTTGCAGAACTAAAGTAATCTAGCAGTATTTTATCGGAGGCCAGTCAATGATTCTTAATTTATATATGTGGTAATAACTGCAGGAATTGCGGATCCTTGTGAGCAGTGGGTACTTGATAAAAAGGATGCCGAAAATTTTGAAAGAGACATTACAATGCAGCCCCACGCTCTTTTCTGAGGTTCATAGCGGCCGTTAATTCGTAGACGAACGCCAGCGGGAGGCCTAGACCCAAGATGAGCACATTTTGTTCCTGGAGGTCTATATCTATGTGAGAGCTGTGTTTCGTGCACTCCCGTATATCACTTAGATCTTTCATTACAATGTATAGTGACTTAGGCAGCGTCCACACTACGCCGGTGAAATTTGAAAACTCAGCTTTACTTCTACGTCCACTCTAATCCGTCACGAAAATGGAGCTTTTCGAAAACGATTGCGTAACGTTAATCACGTGATTTCCCTGACCTACTTTTCCTCAAACACAAATCCAAAATGCCAGGTGGTTTTGCCGTTTTAAAATTGCTCTGGCGTAGTGTGGACGGAAAACATTTGATGCGTTTTCAGAGTGAAAACTCCGTTTTCAAAATTCCTCCGGCTTAGTGTGGACGGCGCCTTAAGCAGGAACTGCGCTTGAAGAAAGGTTCATGGGTGTGTTACAGGTTGTACTGAGTCAGCGCTCCCCCTGTTGGCACACATCCGCACAAGCGCTGCTGGGCCGCCCCTGTAATTTTCTCCTTAGCTCAGCGCTCTATAGCACGGATTGATTACGAATGATTTTGTGCTGTCACTAGCTCCGTTTTATGTAACGTTGAATAAGCCGAGCTCAGGACGGCTGGCCACAATTTTAGCACTCCTGTTTCATGCTGCCTGTCATGAAATGTTCACTGCTTTGCCAAGGACTGGACCGAGCAACAGCGGCCGGGGGAGGAGACCATTAATAAGTTAGGTAGTTTTAGCTGTTCTGAGTACAACAATTATTTGATCTATCATTCTTTCCTAGGCCCCGCCCACACTACACAGGAGGAAATTGAAAACTCAGCTTTATTACTACGGTTGGGCCGACTGTCTACGCTAATCCGTCACGAAAACGGAACTTTTCGAAAACGGTCTTCAAACTGGCCGGGATTTGAAAACGCCGGCTTTGCGTTTTAGACGGTTTCGAGGGAAAACATTTTGAAAACGGAGCTTTTCAACAAAGATGGCGTCATGATAATCATGTGATCATTTTCCCTTCCCGAGTTTTCCTAAAAAACAAATCCAAAATGACTGGCGAATGTTGCGTTTTCAAAATCCTTCGGCGTAGTGTGGACCGAAAACATTTCATGCGTTTTCAGAGTGAAAACGCCGTTTCCAAATTTCTCCAGCGTAGTGTGGACGGACCTTAGCATGTGGCTGCAATCAACATACTGTTTGTTTGCACTGAAATCAACACCTGTTATTTCACCCAAAACGTCTATAAAAAAATATTGCAATCTTCAGCTAACCCAGAAAATAGTACATGAAATTCGAATTTATATTGTTATTGTAAGATCTGTGTTTAGATCAGTATGCTTCAAAGCCGTAAATTAGGAGCTAGTTCTTAGACGATTTTCTTGATGTATCGAACATTTGTCAAATAAGCATTATAAGTTAATTGAACATGGTTGTTTACCTTAGTTATCTTCGTTAATCAATCTCCAAATGGCTAGCAGGAATCAGATTCCTTGAAAAGGTTTGTTGCAGGCGAAAGTTATTCGTTTCCAGCTATTTCAAAACCACAGTTGTTAAAGTAAAGCTTTTAGCAACAAAATTATCAAGATCGAATATCCGGAAATCGTAACAGTCATGAAAAATACCAGAAATACGGTAAATATTTCAGCTGGCTCTGCCAATTAGATGTTTAATGCTTATTGCTCTCAGTGACGGGTGCAAGCTAATTCGATTATCACCTCATCGGACCTCCAACCCCACAAATCAGCTTGTGAAAAGAATTTCAAATTAAGCTCTCTTCATGTTGTTTAGATTGATTGTTATCTTGTTATCGAAAGAAACAAAAGCTAAAGCAGCTTCTTTCGGCCCATCAAAAGGGCTTAATAAATGACTAATATTCACTAAACCAATCATTAAGTTGATAAGTTCGAAACGCGTGGTATTCACTTTGTTCAAGGGACTTCTCCAAAACTTACGATTGTCAATAAATTTACACGAGACTTCTTGACTAGTGGACTTACTTTTAAAGTTGTCGAAGGCATGCATGTGATTAAAACTAACATATCATGGACTGGGTCGGAGCGGTTGAAACGAGAAGACGAGTTTTCTAAGCTCCGTAACTCGAGGGGTTAAACGCGAAAGTTTCTTTATCTCAAACAATATGACAGGAAAGGAAGAGCAAAGCGGGACAAGACGAAAGAGAGACGGTTACAAAAGTCCAAGCAAGGATGGTTCTCGTCGTTCTCCATGTTCTCCAGAAACGAAACGACAAACTGAAAATCAAGCAAGCATGTCGGACTTACACAAGGCCACATGAGTGCAGCAAGTACCAAGCACGTACAAGATCCTGCACTTGCAGCTATATGAGAGGTACTACTAAGAATCGAAGCAAACACCAATTGCCTAATTAGCGAGCAAAAGACATGCAGCGAAGCTACGAGGAGCTTCGTGAAAGTCTTGAATTTACACAAAGCAAGATGGAGAAAATGGCAAAGAACAACTCCGCTTTCCAAGAGCAAATGAAGGAGATGGCGAAGACCAACCTCGCATTACAAAGAAGAATGACCCAACTGGAAAGTGATTTAGAGAAAAAGAACGAAGAAAATGCCAAGTTTGAAAAGAAATTAGACGAGATCTTCATGCAACTCGATGATTTGGAACAATACACGAGAAAATTCAATCTCGAAATACATGGAATCCCTGAAACAGACGACGAAGAGCCCGAAGATCTTGTCCTCGGCTTGGCAAAACTAACGGAAATAGATCTAACAGACGAGGACATCGGAAGGAAGCAAGTCACCGAGACCAATAATTGTGCTTTTCAGCAATTATTACAGCAAAGAGCAAATGTACCAAGGCGCTGGAAACTTCGCTAGAATGGTTTAAGAGGTTTAGGAGTGGACCCCAAAAATGTTTACATCAACGAGGACCTAACTGCTTTTAGTAAAATTC